TCGCCAAAGTACAACTCTCTGGAGAATGCCAACAGAGGAGAGTGCACTGACAAAAATTTGATTTGCTTACATTTTTTTCACGCATTAAATTTCCTATTTAAAAAATTCTCACTGCAAACAAAATATTTTTAAAATGTTTCGAACACTTCACCTTAAATAATTGAAAATATCAATGAATAATAATTATAGATATTATTAATTAATTATAATATTATCGAAATTAGATAATTAATTTATATTTAACCATAAATTATTCATTAGTTAGTTGTTGTAATACCTAAATGTTTTCGCTGTAAGAAAAATAGTATACATATACCCCAAAAAACCAAATAATCTTAGTTTTGGAAATGATGATTTAAAAGATGAGCCTAACTTATATATTTACGAATAAAATTGAATGCTACTATTTTACACCAGAGATGTAATAATGTGCTTAAAATTTAAAATTATACAGGACATGTGATTTTTATTAATTATTATTTGGTTATTATATTATTTAAATTTTTCTCAGTGTGCTGGAGCGGGGTCAGTGAGTGAACATTTCAATTATTTATATGCTTGTTTGTCTCCCTCTCTCTTTTTTTGATCTGCGTGGGAGGTTGGGTGTTTAGATGGGTAATACGGGGGGTTCGTGTGTGTGCACGTGTCTGATAGCACGAAGAACTCTAACACTTGACTGCCTTCTCCCGGTTATCATTTATTTTTTGCTTCCCTTGGCCGGACTTTGACTGATTTGATGATAGTTGAGTGCGTTCCAGAAAGTTATTGCCCAGTTCCAATCCAACAGACTAACACCTCTCCGAATTGGAGATGGAAATCTTCCTTCTTCACACTTTGATTGATTTGTTAATCTCCAAACGAAATACAAATTAAAAGCTTTTTGTTTTGCTCCACTCCAAGACGGGCATAAACCGCTTATGTTAATTAAATTTTTGGGGTTATTCAATGTACAAAGTTAAGAGCTCTTCCCGCAATCAATCAATCCGAAGAACAGTCTTAAGGAGAAGTCCTCTTGGTTGTTTGTTGTTCTTATGCTTTCGCAACTTAGTTTAACGGAAAATGTATTTACATTTTTAACTCAGAACAGAAAGGGTTAAGTCATTGGGAGGTCGGCATCCTACTATATTGATGAGTGGGGTTAGTTGCTTGTCAAGGCTTCCTGAAATAAGAGCTGAGTAATCAATAACCGAATGCCTCCTAAGATTGCTGAAAATGTATCAAAGGGTAAGTAGAGACTTTTAAGAGCTTAATGGTAAAAGAGTGTCTACTTTGAAATAGTAGGAAATAAACATATTTTTATCTTTCTGAATTTTTGTAACATTTTAATTTAAGAGTTTGCCAACCTACATATATTTTATATAAGTTCTATAATATCAAACGCACAAATTGTGAGCTGCCTATATATAAAATGTTGTTACACGTTAGTTATGTCACTATCGATTGATAGTTTTTATGTACCAAAAAAGTAAAAAAAATTGGAAATAATCATGATACCATTTAAATTTCAAACCTTATAAAATTATTTCTATAAAATAAATAAAATTCAGCACTCACCTTTTTTTTATGCCTTATCCAGGTCAAATTTCTTTAGCTAGCTTTGACTTATATCACATGTAGTTCCACTTCAACACCTCCACAAGTCCCCTGCCATAGACACTTGATAAATGCTTGGTTGGTTCCGAAAATCTCGGTGTCTCAATGTCAGTGACATATTCACACCCCACTGCCTTTCAAGTTCAGCCCAAGACCTTTAGGATGTGCACTTTTAATTAATTCGCATACGAGTTAGGGTTAAAAAGATAAAAAGATAGATATGTAGAAAATATACAAGCTCGCTTTGGTTAATCGTAGTATTTGGCACTTTTTGATTTGGTTCCAGTCCACCGCCCACTTAATCCTAACCTTCCACCCTTCAAGGTCTTCCCAGCTGGCAGTTTTGTACCCTGGCAAAGTTTTCAGTGTATATCAGATCGCAGATGGCAGCGTTGTTGTCATAGTTCATCTCGGCCACCTTGAACTCCGGATTAATGGCTATTTTAAGGACATAAGAGCCGGGACTCAAGTCCGTTACATCCACCCATTGGCAGTCCAGATTGTACAGATACACATCCGAGCAGTTAATTGATATGCCTGCAATTATGGATATTACAAGAAACTCGCAAAGGTAAAGTGTCGTTGATTTAACCTTGATCTCCATAATTGGCACAATTGTATTTCTTTGAAACTCCGGGCAAGCAATTGCTGTCCTCCAAGCAAAAGGAGGCCTTGTGTCCTTGGGCCACTTTGTGTCCTCTCAAATCGAAGATGTCAAAGGTGGCAAAAACCTCCATGCTGTGGAAGTGCCTGAGAAGAAATTATTAACAAGGTTTTAAACGTTATTCATTAAAATAAACTTGCAATGCTATTTTTTAAAAGGAAAGTAAAAAGAATATTGGAAAAATTGAAAAGGCAACAAGAAAGAAGAAAACTTCGGCAAGCCGAAGTTTATATACCCTTGCAGTTATTACAAAACGACTAAATTTCGATTTCTATGCCTATATTACTAAAAACAATGAAGCTATGTCGATTATGCGCTGAATTTTGCCATCGTTTTTATTGCAGCTACAGTGACAAACTTAATTATTGGCACAGCAAGCATGTTAAACTTTGAGGCTATTTTTCTTCTTATAATATGCTGATATTAAAATAAAACAAAATATTTTTAGATAGAATCATTAATTTTTTGTTAAATACAAGTGACTTCATTAATTTATCTTTTATAAATAATTTATTAAAAATAAAAAACCAAAGAATGGACCAAATTTGCCTGAACAAAATTATTGGCACACTTGGGTTTTAATTAACTATTTTATTAAAACTTTATCGATTTGCCCACTTTTTTTTTAATTATCACATTTGCCTCTATAATCTTAATGGTATAATGATTAATTTTATAGCAAAAATGGTTTTAGTGCCTTAAAATAAAGGAAAAGTTGTTTGACTTTACAAGGTAAAAATAAAATCAACCGCATGTGTCCAAAAATTAAAATTTAATAAGCAGGATCAATGCAAATCGAAAGTAAACATTGGGGAAAGGATGCCCAGAAGCCATTTTTCCCATTCGGAGTCCTTTGCCGCATTTAAAGGACCCACGCAGTTGCAAAATGCAGGGCACACTGGCTAATCCATGGCTTTGAGAGGCCAGGAAAGCGTAAGGATCGTATAAAAGGACAATGTCAACCCCCAGATCTCCTCAACACGTATCGAAGTTGATGATAAGAAGGACTTTGGTAATGATATTCACCCAACAGCCTTTTTTCAGGCCCTGCATGATGGTTTCTACAAACGAATTGAACCTAGAAAAAATCAATAGATTTTAAAAGTCAAAAACAACCTTTTAGTGCAGGGAAATTTATATCTGAGTATGCCAATCGACTTTTGGGTCCTTTCAACCTTCTCGTATGATTTAATAATCCTTTCCCCAAGCAAAGAGCTTATGTTAGAACCCTTTTCAAGCCGATGGATTTTTTCTAGGAGCAATTCATTTGTAGAAACCATCATGCAGGGCCTTGAAAAAGGCTGTTGGGTGAATATCCTTACCAAAGTCCTTCTTATCATCAACTTCGATACGTGTTGAGGAGATCTGGGGGTTGACATTGTCCTTTTATACGATCCTTACGCTTTCCTGGCCTCTCAAAGCCATGGATTAGCCAGTGTGCCCTGCATTTTGCAACTGCGTGGGTCCTTTAAATGCGGCAAAGGACTCCGAATGGGAAAAATGGCTTCTGGGCATCCTTTCCCCAATGTTTACTTTCGATTTGCATTGATCCTGCTTATTAAATTTTAATTTTTGGACACATGCGGTTGATTTTATTTTTACCTTGTAAAGTCAAACAACTTTTCCTTTATTTTAAGGCACTAAAACAATTTTTGCTATAAAATTAATCATTATACCATTAAGATTATAGAGGCAAATGTGATAATTAAAAAAAAGTGGGCAAATCGATAAAGTTTTAATAAAATAGTTAATTAAAACCCAAGTGTGCCAATAATTTTGTTCAGGCAAATTTGGTCCATTCTTTGGTTTTTTATTTTTAATAAATTATTTATAAAAGATAAATTAATGAAGTCACTTGAATTTAACAAAAAATTAATGATTCTATCTAAAAATATTTTGTTTTATTTTAATATCAGCATATTATAAGAAGAAAAATAGCCTCAAAGTTTAACATGCTTGCTGTGCCAATAATTAAGTTTGTCACTGTATATAAAATTGTTATCCGATCTTGACAAGCTAAAAGCGTAATTCTGATATAGTAAATAATTACTATATCTTAAAAAAATATTCCAATAACAGAAAAACAGCAAAACAGCAAATTAAAAATTTTTTTATATTTAATTTTTCGATTTTCCTATGGGAGCTATATGATATGGATGTCCGATTTTAATTTAATTAAAACTGTAATTCCATAATATTTAAATATTTTCAAATCCCAAAAAAATTAAAATAAAAACAACAAAGTATATTTTATAAATAGATATACATCTTTTGGGAAAGTTTCAAGCAGATAGCTTTAAAACTAAGGGACTAGTTTGCGTAGAAACGAACGGAAGGACGGACGGACAGACGGACATACATATATATACTTTATAGGGTCGGAAATGTCTCCTTCATTACGTTGCAAACTTTTGACGGAAATTATAATACCCTCTGCAAGGGTATAAAAACCTTCAAAATACAAACTATGCGATTATCCCGCTTTTATTTGGTTTCCAAATAATTTGAAAAACAAAATAAAGCGCAAATAAGCGATAAGAACATTAGCTCATTTCTATTTATAGTCTAGTCCATACATATACATATTTGGTGATTTGGGTTTTTCCAATTGTTGGCCGACGGATGAGAGACTTGGACGGCCACGTATTATAGATAAGAATATATTATATTTTCTAATATTTTAGGCTTCGTTGTTTCTTCAACTTATAGCTACGTTTCAGTACACTTTTTAAATTTGATTTGAGTAGATGGAACATCTTAAAATGCTGATGCTATTATCCTATATGCTTGGCTTTTTAATTTTTCCAAGTGTACAAGGAGCAATTGGGTTCAATTCAAAGGATCAGTCGTCGTGTGTTCTCCAAGATGAACCAAGACAGTGCGGTTCCTTTTGCCTGGCCGCACTCAGCCCGCTTTTCGACCATTCTCGAAATATCCGAAAAAGGTTGGATGAAATCGAGGCAGGACTGAAGGCCGTATTCGATTCGAGACTCAAGCAGGAACTCATCACAAAAGAAGACTTCGCGAATTCAATTAATGCTCTGCAGGCCAAGCTGGATGCGAGATTTGACAGAATGGAGGAAGTTAGGACGGTGAGTTACTGATAGCAGACTTACAGACAGACATTCAGACTGACAGACAAATAGAAATCTTAGAAATCCCATCGAAATTGATTATCTCAGTTTATAGGTAAATTTAATGTACACAATTATAACAGTTTTTTTTAGTAAATTAGTATAATACTGCAACGAAAGTTCATTACAAATTTTTTTAGTTTGTTTTAAATCGACGCTGTCAATGTTATCAATACTTTCTTTTGTAAGCTAAATTAAGATTTATTAATTGAAATATTAAAAACAAAAACAATGATTATTATATTATCGCCTGTTCTAAATGATTTTGTACAGATAAAAATAACAGCCGATGCCTACGATGATCTCAAAAGCCAAGGAAGTACTTTGAAAGACACCATACAAAAATTGCAGAGTCAGTTAGAAATATCCGAAGGTCAAACCAAAAGCAAAGAGGATCTTTTAAATGTGAAAGAGGAGCACCTTAATAATAGGGATGAACAAATCTCTGACCTTAGGAATCAAATTAAATTGATTGAGAAAACAAAATCAGAACTATCTACTCAGCTTTCCGACTTGCATAAATATTATGACATTTTACCTGACTCTTGTCCCAGTGGCAGTCCCAATGGTATTTACCAAATAAAGCTTCGGGGTCTTGAACCCTTTGAAGCGCCATGTGCGACGTCTCCACCTGGTTATACTGTGATTCATAGACGCATTGATGGATCCGAGAACTTCCATCAAAACTGGGAGGAATACAAGTCTGGATTTGGGAATGTCAGTGGAGAATTCTTCATCGGGCTGGAAAAATTGCATCGGATGACTGAGGCACGACCCCACGAACTCTACATTAAACTTGGGAATGTTAATGGATCCACCGGCTACGCTCATTATGATGACTTTAAGATTGGGAGTGAGGAGGAATTGTACGAGTTGAAGAATCTAGGGAATTATTCTGGTGAAGCCGGAGACTCCCTTACATACAGTAGGAACCAAAAGTTCTCCACAATTGATCGGGATAATGACAATTATATACATATGAATTGTGCCTATGTAGATGGTGCATGGTGGCACAACAAGTGTTCATACTGGTATACCTGTTTATTTATGCTCTTATTAAATCTCCTTACTATAATCACTTAAATTTACAGTTCGCTCAATGGAGAATACTTCAAAGATGGCAGAGGTATTGGAGGAATTAATTGGTACTCATGGCATGGAGATTGGGATGAATCACTTACCTTTGTTGAATTGATGATAAGGCCCAAGTTCTAATGAGTCGCACTGTTTAAGTATGAAATATTTGAACATAAATAAAAAATACTAAATGTATATTGTACTCCTAATGCTGTCTGGTATTAAGTTGATTTTATTTGATGAAATGGGAGATTTGATAAAGTGATTGAGATTATTTTACAACTGATGTGCGTATTTTAGGAATATAAATACGGATAAGTGGAGAGGGTTGGTAAGCTTTTTGTCGGTTTTGCTTAATTTGGGTTTACAGGAAACTGTAAGTGCGTTTTTGGGGACTTCCAATTTCCCAGAATTCGGAATCCTAAATACGGAATCTTGAATCCAGATCCCGAGAAAAAAAACGGATGCCGTTTGCCATTGTTATTAATTTACATACATATTTATAAGTTTTTGTTAAGTCATTATGATGGGTACGTAAGGGAGTTTGGGGAAATGATCTGGATAAGGGTACTTTCCATACTTATACTATTATTCTAGGGTCCGCACATTAGAGGTGGTTGCCCCAAGGGGCAAATTCAAGGCTCTGGTGTTCTTATAAGGCAGCTATAGAATATAGTCGGCCGATCCTTATGAAACTTGGTAGGTCGGATTAATTGGCCAAATATAAAACCCATAGAAAATCCCAACTTCCTAACTTTACAAACACCAAAGTTATGGCCGTTCCGACTTATATACTGTGTGCAAAAGAAAAAAGGGTGTGTGCAAAGTTTCAATTCGATATCTTTAAAACTGAGAGACTAGTTTGCGTAGAAACAGACAGACAGACGGACAGACGGACATGCTTATATCAACTCAGGAGGGGATCCTCATCAAGAATATATATACTTTATAGGGTCGGAGATGTCTCCTTCACTGCGTTGCACACTTTTGACCAAAATTATAATACCCTCTGCAAGGGTATAAAAACTTTGTTCATGCAGTTGGTGAAAGATAAAATATTGCAATATAAGAGGGATATTTGATAAAAGTTAAAATACTGGAATCGTTTTTAAATTTTAAATTTTTTCCTGAGGCTAAAAAATATATTGTTTTTTTAAGAAACTTATTGCAGAAATTTAACAAAGAGTTTTTTGAGGGTAATAAATATACATATTACTTACTTACAAAAAACGTAATAGTTTGTTTTTTATCAGTTAAGTTATTTAACAATAAATATAATAATTATTGTATTAATAGTCAATCAGAATATCTATAATTTTAATATATTTTGGATACCAAAATGAATTGAATTTTTTTTCTGTGTACTTACATATGGCACATGTGCCACTCCCATTGGCTCTTCTCCTTAAATGGCCGGAAATCGGCGTTGCCCGCGTTGATGGCCGCTGCTGTAAACTTGAGCAATCGCCGAGATCGATACCGCCAGTGGGGATCATCCCGCTGAATTTGATAGGCCTCGTTGGCCACACAGTTCTCCTCCATGGCGCACTGCATCAGCAGCATGGGTCGATCCTCCAGATGGGCCGTCTGTTCGATTTCTAGGTAATCCACCACCAGATCGGGGGCAATGAAGTCACAGATCACGGCGGCCACGTGTTGCCGGTTGCCGTGACAGCTGACTATTCCCTGACTGGCATCGTGATGAAGGCAGTCGGCCAGTTCCGTTTCGTTGCCATAGCATTCGCTGCCACTCAGCACGGGTCTTGACACATTGGAGCCGCCGAAGAAATCCGTTTGGAAGGCCTCACTGGCGTAGCCCAATCCAAGCTGTCGACACACTACATTGGCCTCCAAAAGTGACCAGCCATCGGCGCACACACTGCCCCATCGACCGCCATCCAAACTGACCTCCACTCGCCCCTCGATTCTAGATCTCCCGCCTCGCAATCGCACATACAAACGGGAACGGGAGCGAATTGGGTACTTGGGCAGATCCTCATCACGAAGGATGGGCGCTGGCCCAAGGAGCTGGGCATTTTCCGGGGGATAACACACCACGCCAGCCGCCTCGCCAGGCTCACAATCGTTCTCACCCCATCCCTCGAAATGGCAGTCGACCAACTCCTGTTCGTGACCTTCGCAAAAGAGGTTATCCATCCAGAAGCGACGACGAGCGGGTCCAAAAAAGCCACTTCTGGTGTACCTCCTCATTCCGGGGAAGCCAAGCTGCCGGCACACAATGTCACCTTCGACGGCATCCCACTCGTCGTCGCAAACAGCTCCCCATTTGCCATTGTGCAGGACCTCAATGTTGCCTGAAAGGATATTATAAAATACAAATTAATTAAGAATGTTCATTAATAAGAAAAAAAGGAAAATTATTTGAAAACAATTTAGATAGTAACAATTCAAAAAAAATCAACAAAAATCTAAATTATATATACATAAAGGGGCTTAAAGATATTCGTATTTATAATTTATTTTTTGTTGCAACTCTTTGATTGACATGATAACTGGTGGTATTTTTAAGAATCAATAAAAAAATAAGTTAAATATAATTCCAAATTTGATGAAATAAAAGACATTCATAAGAAAGGATTTACCATCGGATGTCAAATAAAAGTATGATAGCTACAGATATTTTTATCATGTCCAACGTCTAATAAGAATTAATTTTCACATATTCTCACCTTCGTATTCATTATCTCCGCCCACCAGTCGAATGGCTCCCTCCTCCTTGTTGAGGACCTTTATGTACCTGTGCACCAATCTCTGGCGGTCCAGGCGAGCGTCCTCCAAGGATCTGTGCTGTACCACAGCATCTGCCACGCGGAAGACGAGTACAGTCAGGCACAAAAGTCTAAGCGCCATCTTAAGGTCCTTTCGATCTTAGACTTGCACACATTTGCCCGCCTCGGCGTTCGCACGAGAACTGAAGCTCAGCGCAAATATCTGAATAGCAAACAGAATCATTTAACTATGAACTGGCCAGATACAAAGATACATAGATAGACGGATAGATGGGTACGTAGGTAGGTGGCTTGTTAGGTACATATTCAGATATCTGATGCGGTTCAGAAGCTCGCTCAACTGACGTCATTGGGCGCCCGGCGAGGGCGGAGATCGAGAGTTAAAATCAGAGATCCCAAAGCCGAGAGTGCAGAGCGAAGAGCACGGAGCACCGAGCACCGATCTCGGCTATATCCACTAGCGATTCCAAATCCAAAGCTGAATCTATTTCCCGCACGTATGCATGTCACTTAATGAGTTTTTCATTTTGAGCCAACACTGACATTGCCGCTGTTTAAGCGAATTGGCAAATGGTGCACTGTGAAAATTAAATAACCATAACCAAAACTACAATTTTGCCACCTTTTTGGCACATTGATAAAAGAAGATCTTAAAAGAATTGATACTTTTTTTTGTATAATGGATGAAATTAGAAACATGTCAGCTGTTTTTAAGTATTATATATAAATATTTAATAAAATAACTTTATCTTAAATACATCCCACAAGTTTTAGTTTTTAAAAAAAGAAGAACTTTGAATTCCGGAATCTTAAAATATTGAAGGTTTAATCATATGCTCAATTAAAGAATCCTCCCATATGTAACATACAACCCAAATTTGTACTATAGGAAGTAGTCTAATGTTTTACTACATAAAAAAATATTATCAGGAAAATTCTCGCAGTGCAAGTCGAAGGCCAAATAAATGTTGCTCTATAAACAAATGCGAAAAGGAAGCACTAACCCATCTAGTTTAACACACAACAATAAACCATTATAAAATATTTCTCACACCCATTACAAACATTTAATGAGAGCTTTGTTTGAACCCTGAACTCTTCTCCCCCTCCTCCTTCTTCTCCCAGCCATAAAATAATGCATTGCAAAATCCAAAAATGGGAATGAAAATATGGAAAACGAAGCCATAATTTCGACTCTGAGTGAGCACGACCCACATATGAATACGAATCTGTTGTTCGGAATTTAACTACGTATGGTATCCGGCTTTGGGTGAGCAAACCGGCAAAATCATCGTCATCGTGGGGAAGCCCATTAGTTTTGGCATACAGCCATTTGAAACATTGCATGCAACATCAAGGCCAACATGACATTGACACTGAAACCATCGCAACGGAAAAACAAACTAAAGCCACCGTACAAAAGGAAAACTAAAAGCTAAGCGGCAATGACGTTTACCTAGTTTAATTTCGGGGCAGTAAAATCGGTGGATATGGGTGGCTCATTAGCAAAAGTGCCAGCAGCATAATCGTAATTGAAAATCAAACTCGATTAGGTCAGCTTTATGTGTGGATTGAATAAAGGGAGAGGGAAATGAGAACCATTCAAGCGTGCATCCATACATTTGTTGGATAGATTTTCAAGATCAATGTAGATCACAAACCGGCAATTGTCTACTGAATCCGATGGATGAATGACAGCTTGTTGTTATGGAATTAACAGTGTAAATTCCATGAGAAAAATTAGCCAATTAACGATTTTGTATACACAAAAATACTCTGTTTTGCAAATATTATTATGTATTTTAAATCTACACTTAATAATGATTAAAACTTTAAAACTTTTTTAAGACTTTTTTTATAGAAATATAAAATCACATGAATTTAAAAATATTATTATTACTGAGTTCAAAATAATTCGTAGCTATAAAAACTTATTAGGCATTTAATCTATACAATTGGATATATCATATTTCTACCAGTCACGATGGCCCATAACTTTGTCGCCCATTAATTGTCTAACTACCAATAAAAACCTATTTCTTTCAATATTCACACATGCTGATCTATGAACAATTTTATAACCAACTAGAACGCATAACTATGTCAGACCAAAAATGTAAGCAATTTATAAGGTCCAACATGCATACTATATCTATGTAAATATTCATGGGACTGCCTGCACGAAACGATCATAAATATTGGCCAGAGAAATTAATTGGATAAACGTTTTATGATATTGAATTATGATGGCTAGAAAGAAAGGGAGCATCTCGCTACTTGGCCATTCGGAAAATTCCCACACAATTCAAAGGGGGCGAAATTTTATGAGTGCGTAAATTCCATTTGGATGGCCGCAAGGGCTAAAAGGGCATAAAGGACATAGCGCAATCCTGGCGCAACGTCATGCACCAAGGTAATAAAATTCGATAGAAAATCGTGTAATAAAATCATTACACACAAGAACCAGAAGCAGGACAAAGTCAGCCCTCTGTTTCTGGCTGGCACTCTTTGCCAATCCGGCACTAAAATCAAACGAGTCCGGCAACACCGCAGGCATCTGACCAATCTGCTGCACCCCCGACTCCTGATCCTTGGGCTCCAATCCACCTCGGCTCCTCCGGGGATATAAAAAGCGGCAACGTGAGGCGACAAGTCCAAAGCTCCGAGGAGCCTCCTTTGGCCAACAATAAAATGTGAGAGTCAAGGAGGGGCGGAGATGAACAAGAAGTAACGACAAAGTGGATACCAGCGGGAAAATAATTTGTGTGGGAGTTACCCACCCCAGGGGCATGATTTCCTTGGCAAGAGGCACCCGGCCCAGAACGGATAAAAAGATGAAAAAATGGTTAAGGGATATTGAAAGGCGGTAAATTGCTTTATTACTTAAGTGAGCCAGAGATGATTAGGTTCGCGCTGGCCGCAGTTGCTGCAGTTTGCCTTGCGGCGACTCATTAAAACGGAGTTCCTGCACCGGACCTGGGAAATGGAAAATGAGAAAGGAAAATGGGTAATAATAAAAAGCAGGGCTTTAAGTGGGTGTAAACAAGACTTAACTTGTAATAATATGGTAACATAGCAGGATTTGGTAGTTAGTTGGCTGGTTAAATTTTATATTAGCTCTTTAAAATCATTTTCGCATAAATAACATAAATAGGAACACTAAAAAATCAAAAAAACTTACTAATTCACAGTTTTTTTATTATTAAAATATTTTGTTTTTATTTAATAGGTTTTAAGATAAGTTTAACATTACTAATATAAAAGCTATAAATATTAGTTGTGGTTTAAAGTGAATTTCTAATTTCAAAGCATGAAGCCATTTTTCTCAGAATACTAATAAATCAGTATAACATACTAATCGGCAGTGTTTTATTTAAAAAATTTTTTTTTTTATTTAAAAGGTTAACATTACTTATATAATAGCTATAAATATTTTTTTTCCATTTTGGGTTTGTATTTTATAGGAATAAAATCTTAATTAGTTGAGCTAGGCAGCTCAAAAATCTCATGTTCCCTTAACTACAATCAGAAGGCCATAACTTAATTTAGAGCAAAGACAAGCCAAGACATTAAATCTTTTCATAATGATATCATACAGTCGTAACACATATAGCGAGGCTCATTTGGACATTAATAAAATTGGATGACGCGCTGACAGCATAAATGTCACCGAAAATGCTATTAAAACTAAATTATAGCTGGCATAACCATGATTCATGAGCGGCGAGACCTCAAGTGCCCCACCCTTTGCCTCCTGCCAGCGAAAAGAAATCGTAAAAAATATATAATGCCAAATTTGTAGCTAGCTTATGGCAAAAAAAAAGATTATTAATTCTTAATAAGATGGCGAAGAATGCAAAGAGGGCACCAAAAAATGGAAACAAAAACAGAAATTGTATAAAAATGTGGCAAGTGGGGCGTGTGTCTATCGCTGCCTTGAAAATGTGCCAAAAATGCCGAAAAAAAAAACGAAAACAAGCCAAAGAAAAAAAAAACGTTCACAATCAGTGAATGCCCTGGCTTGAATACCCTTTTTTATGGGAATGCCATAGAATTCTTTTTGGTTCGGGCACGAAACGAAACCAAACAGAAATAATAAAATTAAAATGCGCCTTTTGCTTTGGCTCGATGCCTCGAACTCAGTCAGTTGGACACAAAAAAGTCCGAAGCAATAAAAATAATAATGAAATCAAAGGAATAAAAACAACAGAGACAGTTACAAAGACTTACAATGGGGCCAGACACGATGAATGGGCTAATAGGAAGGGCTGCTGGTAAAATTTAAGTCGAAGGACATTGGGAAAATTGTTCGTCAGTTCTCGCTGCGAATCATAATGAGCTTTCCGAACAATTTTCGTTAGCTGAATTAGAAATTATTTCATTGCTGTCTGGAACCCACAAAAGAGAATGGTGCTGAATATTTAAAATAATATTATTTAACCTTTAAAGTAGAAAAGTAAATCTACTTTAAACATATCAAAGCTAAAGCCTTGACCAGCAGAAATTTTTCACTCATTTTTAAACGTTCCTTGCATTGTAAAAATGATTTATTGAAGCGTTCAAATTCGATGGAACTTCCTGGCAAGCTGTCGACAGTTTATTTCCATTGAATGGCATTGGCAGCACTGAATATCACAGCGAGCGTGTTTTGATATATTGTATTTAAATAACAGGTGGCCTTTCCGGTCTTCAATTTTGATTTCCCTTCTTATTTTTTGCATCACTGGCTTTATATTTTTATGTGAAATTTCAAAGAATTTCTTATCGTTCCTGTTTTTGCTTTTGGCTTAAGGGTTTCGGGAAAATAAATAAAGTGGTTTTTAAAAAGAATGCCCTACTAGTTTTAATAAATAATTTGTTGTTAAGTTGTTAGTGAAATTTCCACAGACATTTATTTATGCTATTTCAATACCAGATTTCTGACATCTGTCATTACAATAAAAAGCAAATAAAATCTGTTGTATGCATATCCTGTAAGTCATAAATCCTGAGTCGAGCCTCAACGCAAGTAGCTATATTTTATTTTATTTTATTTTAATTTCGTCTTTTCCTTTGCGAAGGCTCACCCTGAGGCACTGTCTTCGCCAAGGATTTGCGACAAAACTTTTCGCTTATTCTGCTGTCTGTCTACCCAGACAACGTGTACAAATATTTATTCTTGGATTCTTGTGAAGCTGAATATACGAACAAAAAAATCCGCTAGACAGCAAGAAAATATTTTCATATAAACCAACTTACGTCGAGAGTCAACACAATTGAGTTTAAAATGTGCATGCGAAAATCAATTAATTTTTTGTCCCAGTTGCCGCTAATTGAATTGGCCATATCGCAATATAGACTAGTGAAATAATAAATAAATCCAGTACTCTATTGTTCGGGGAGTGACGTAGTACAAAAAAAATGGAGCGAGACAGATGTTCCATATCATGGAATTTGTCCCCGTGCCGACTAAATGAATTATGTAACATGTCTAGCCATTTAGTGCCATAATTCAAAGCAATCTATGCCAGCCCAGACAACACAGCGCCCATCACTGGGTCTCCTCCAATAAAAGGGGGCGTGGCAGGGTTTTATGGCAGAGCCTAAATTGCACGCAGTCCAGACAAATTGCATTTGCATAGCGTAATTGGAAAATGTCGCGTACGAAAGAAATAATTGAAAAACTATAATTTGTATGGTGGCTTATGAAAGCCGGAATAAAAGACATATCTAAATGGGATGGGATTTTTCCATATTTTTATGTACTGTATGAGTTTTGATACTATTGGAAAATCAACAATTTATAGTGGAAAAAAAAGTAAATAATAAAACTACAACAAAGTATCTTAAAATTCCCATAGTACAAGTAAAATGTAAAGTAAATTAAGAACCTATCTAAAATGTGACCATAATGAATTAATTTACATATTCTTCTAAAGCTTACAAAATATTTTCTTGTGAATTTAAATAAGCATAATTTCTTTATTTCAAGAGCATTATTCCCATCCATATTTCAAGTTATTGGAACTATAATATTTTAAAATACGCTTAGTCGATAATAATGATTAATTGAAAATGATTTTATATCATTTGTTGCCAAAGAAAATAAAAACACTTATCCGAAAATCCCCTATGACTTTAGTTTCATTATGTAAATTTGGTTTGACTTACATACAAAATACCCAAAAATAGTTTTCAAAAAGTAACTCCAAATCGGCAACCGAAACCTTTCTATCCATTGTCAGTGAGAGTGGAACCCAAAGTTCCATTGGAAAGATGCCAGTGGCAGTGCGTCTTGTGGAGGCTTTGACCCTAATCACCATTATGGGTCTGATCACCTGCATTGGTCTAAGTGTGATCCTGGCTCAAAAAACCCTCAGTATAACAATAACATTTCTGGAGGTAAGCCTTTAAATTTCCATTTTTATCTCTCAAATTTTCCATTTGGAAATTATAATAGCCCGCAGCGAATATAGCCAATATGGCACTGATGTTGACCGAGAAAGTGCTGGTGTCTTCTCTGCTCTGTGTTTTGGGTCTGACCAATGTGGTGGGAAATGCCCTTCAAGCGGCTGGAATCGCCTAAAAATCGCTCTCCTTGGATGCTTTAGTTCACCTCCACTAACTTCGGTTTTCTGATCAATGTTGGACTGTTGTATGCCCCAAAATTCTCAATATATTATTCGCCTTCCATTTTAATATGCCATTACTGTCCACCAACTTTCAGTTTTTTGGGCGGGGGTCGATGGCAAACTCAAACGCGGCACCGCTCACTAATATTCAATCAAACAATTTTACGCCCCAATAAACTTTTCTAACCTGCGGCTGGTCAAAACAAGAGCGAAAAATACAAAAATAAAGTAAAGCAGAACTCTGCTCAATTGCAGCAAATTTGTGCCTGGCCAAAACGAAATTGTGGAATGAGACGCGCAACGAGAAAAATAAATATTTTTACCACAAAAGCCAATTTGGCCGTACAAATTTAAACTGCGCTCGAGGATGAATATAATTTTTGGAGCCTTTTTAATACACTTCAATAGGGTGCTTCAACCCAGAGGAAAATTATAATGTTAATGAAATGAGAGAGGGCAAAAAACCTTAAACGTAATAAATGTATGGATAAATCTATTATTCAAAAATATAGAGGTTAATAAATAAATATATGTGATAACTCAACAACCTGGATAGAGTATTTATTACTTCACCTTCGAATGGTTTCCCACATTTTTTGTCTTCCATAACTTTCAGCCGCCTTTAAAGTTTTCGCACCTTTTGAAAGTGGCTTATTCTATTATTTAGTTATTTATCAATGTTCTGGCCCTGGTCTGGGTTGGGTATAATCCCAATGGGAGAGGCACGCACCGCAGACCAAAAGCCCCTAACCAGACTCGTCGAAAATCGAGTGTAGGTGTCTGCGGTTGTTGCTGTTTGCATGAGCATTTTTTTGATTTAGTGGCAATTTCGTGTAGCAAAAATTGCAGAGTGCCCCGAGGGTGGACTTGAAAACAAGCAGATTACAGGCGGAAATTGTGGCAAGAGTGAGTGGAGGAGCTAACAAGCTGAAAACTGGAACAATATGCTGGCGAGATATGCAGTAAAACACCTCAGAGAAATCGGCATTTAAGTGGCGATCGCTGGGACCAGATTATTCATTATCCTTTACCAAAAGGCCATGCCAAAGGGGTATGCAGATTACACAATAGCTGTCCTTAGTCAGATATATCTTTCACTTCTGGGCCAGACAATTGAAATCGTGTATAGTTGTGCCAATAGTCACACCTCTCAATTTATAAATGTGGTTAAAACTTATTACATTCATTTAAAAATAGTAACACATCACAACGTTTAAATGGATTTAAGGTCTCCTATTTGTAATCGAAATGTGTATTTGTTATAAAATCGAAATGATGCCAAGCATCATCAAATCAAAATTATATAAAAGGATTAGATAAAAATCTTTTCTATTTAATGAAATTAACTTAAAACCTCTTCAAAATAATTTTACGTTTTCCTTAAGCAGCAGTAAAAACTTAAGTGCTCTTAACTGAGAATTATCTGCTAATATGCTTGGACTATTTATGCCAATCAAGAATATAAAGTACTTATTTGTTAGAGTCGAAAATGCATTCTTCCAGCTACATGAGAAAGAGTAAAATTATAATATTTTAATACTTGGGTTTTTCATCAAAATTTTAAGAAGTAAAGTCTTTACTTAGGCTTTGGCAAATTTCTTTGTTTATGCCTCTATATAGACCTTTTGACTTCTTATTCATATAAGCCATTTAATAGGTTATTATTTTAGCTTGAAAGTAAAAATGATAAATTTACATTTTCGAATTTACAAAATCACTTATAAAGAACCATTTCTTTTCTATTGCAATTTACGTGTTTAAATACCAATGATAACAAATTTACTATGAAATTAGACATTTGTGGTGAAATCTGCCGTCTCTATGGTTTTATGCGTTGATCCGCATAAAAGTGGAATGATCTGTATCTGACGAGGGATATAAAAACCATAAATTAAAACACTTTTATTATTATTTGACAGTTTTATTTAAAGTGGCCAATGGCCTTTATAAGCAATGTATTAATTTCGGACAGTACGTCATCAATTTAAACCAACTTGTTGGCCTCCACAACCTCGGGATCTTCTTCTGCTGACCCATCGGCAGTGGTGTTCTGCTGTTCTCCCTGTTCGGTGGTGTTCATGGGGGAAACTGATTCCCCGGGACCTTCTGGCTGAGAACAGGAACAGGAATCCCTGGTGTTCTCCGCAATCCAATCGTTGAAGTTGCTCACTCGTGTGTATACACCCGGGGCATTTGGTTTGGCACATCCTTCGCCCCAGGACACAATACCCGCCAGATGGTAAGCCTCTCCGGCTCCATGGACATGCATTGGGCCACCGCTGTCACCCTGGCACGAATCCTTGCCTCCCTGCTCCACATAACCAGCACAGATCATGTTGTCGGTGATCTTGGATTCGCCATAGTTGCTGTTGCGACACTCCTCCTGGCTGAGGATGGGTACCTCCACTTCTTGGAGCGTATCCGAAATGGGTCCTCCCTCACTCAGAGCTCCCCATCCGGTGACCACTGCTGTTTGACCCGCATAACTCTCGCTTGGAATGGGTAAGCACACGGGATGCATATCTATGCCAAGACGAACTGGTTCGTTGAAACGAATCAAGGCAATATCACTATCGAAGTTCCTGGTACTGTAACTCGGATGGATGATCACCTTGGACACCCGGCGATCCACGATCTTCACATTGCTATCCTGGCGATTGTGCTCCAGCAAGCGAACGGTGATCAAACGGTGGTAGAAACCATTCACACAATGGGCAGCGGTCAGGGCATATTGATCATTAACCAGAGAGGCGCCACAGTAGAAGTTACCGAACCACATGAGCATTATCATCCAGGGATACTCATGGACCTCCGTCTCCTGACCGCCGACGATGCGATGACGGGTGTTAATATTACCACAGGAACATTCGGCACACTCCCTTTTGGCAGGAGAACTCCATTCGGAAGGAACATCGGGACCCAGGATCGACTGGATCCAGTCCAGAAAGCTACTCTGCCTCAGCTGAGCTAGGGAGTTCAAAATCTTCTCTGGCTCGGAGGCGGTACGCAAGGAGGGCGTGGCCCAGGCCAAATCACCCATCGCTATTGCAGCAATCAGCAGAAGATAAAAAGTGCACATGGTGAACTAACCTGGCCAACTGGCAATTGGCAACTAACCAAACGAATCCTGGCCACAACGAGCAAGAAGACTGATGTTAACCAGAACTCCCGGCCAGCCGAAGAACTGGCTAGACCAGAATCCCCAGAGGAAACCGGCTCCCGAGAAAGGTTAGCGCACTTTGTGGAAACTTTTCTTTTAATCAATAAATACAAAACAGCTTGAGAATAGGATCTTCGACGTGGCCGAAGCTGGAATACTCTTGCAAAGGTTGGGTATACACTGATCTGATATTTTAAAAAAGTTCTGAATCATATATCCCTAGAAAGTACAAAACTATTTTCGGCGAAAATAGATTGATTCTTGGGACAATGTTTTAATAATTCAGGAAATAATAAGCTTTTTGTAATGAAAACTTATCTTTCAATGGATACTATTGCATTTTAAGAATTTGTATATTGTTAAATTGAGGAGATTAAAGAGAAAATCTTATGGGAACTCATTGTGTTAGCTATATTTAAAAATGTCATAAATGCCCAAGCCAAATTCATTTTTGTAATATTTTTTCCTACACCAATATCTTGAGAAATATCACATTGTATGCAAGATATGAAATCCTGATATAACAAATTTTTCATTATTAATTAAAGAGCGTTTCTATAGTTCCCCTAAAATTTGCACTTATTCTCCCATATTCGTTACCAACGCAGCAAGAGTATTTAACTATTAAAAGATACAGAAATAGCTAGATGGTCGCTACTTGATCTTCTTGGTTTCCTGCTGGCAAAGGCAAGCCTGTTTGGTGAGGTTCTTGATCCAGGTTCCATAGCGATTGACTCTGGCATAGACACCAGGATAACCGGCCTTGGCGCAGCCCTCGCCCCACGAAACCACGCCGGCGATCTGATGCTCTCGCGTTCCACTTGCCACGATGTGCAAAGGACCTCCGCTGTCGCCTTGACACGAGTCCTTGCCACCCTCGTCGTATCCTCCACACAACATGTTATCCGTGATCTTGTTACCATAGCGACTCTTCCGGCATTCATCTTGCGATAAAATGGGCACTTGAACCTCCTGCAAAAGAATAATATTTGGAGAAACGATTTTAATAAGAATTTCTTCGGCTTGAAACTGTAAAATTCCATGTTAAGCTGACTTAAACCTAAATTTTATTTTAAGGCCTCTTTACACATTTTAATTTCTCATTTAATATTTGTAAACACATTTCTGATTTTGCAAGCAATTAGGTTGGCATTTAAATTGTTTGACAATCAGACCTGATCTAAATATAAAAATTTCAATAAAGAGAACAGAATGTTTTAAGTAGTCCTGATGGAAACTTATATATCAGATCTGACTACAACCCTAACTAATATGATTTAAATTTTAATTTAACTTAAAGAAAGCGTATTCCCATAAATTGACTTCAAAGTTAATACCTAAGCTTGTATCGACTTGAGGCTGATTATTAATAGTGATACCACTTATGGGTAAGTTGTATATCAAAACATTTATTGATTATAAAATAAATTTTTCTATGGGGCTATCCAAATATTACGTAACCATAATATTAACAAATACACATGTAATTAATTTCTTTAACCAATAAATTTAAAACGGCTAACGTAATATCTACATATTAGAAATGTATCTGCATCGATGTATAATTATTAAAAGTATTTTTTTTTTGTGGTAAATAAAAAGTTTTCTAATTACGAGGGTTACTAGTGTAACACCTGAACGGACTTACCTGTAGTGTATCAGATGTTGGTCCTCCAACTTTGAGTGCTCCCCAACCAGTGACTATGCCGTTCTCGCCCTTGAAACTCCTCCCCGGCGTTGGCATACAGACGGGATGAAGGATCTCATTGAACTCCACCGGTTCATCCAACTTGATGATGGCTATGTCGTTGTCGTAGTTCCTGGCATTGTACTTGGGATGCGTGATCACCTCGGCCACCTTGCGGTCGATCTTTTGCATGTGCGACATCTTGCGGTCGTGTTCGAGTAGCCTCACCGAAATTCTCTCCTTCCGGAATCCATAGACGCAATGCGAGGCAGTCAGCAGGAATTGATCGTTCAGCAAGGAGGCGGCACAGTAGAACCTTCCACCATAGAGCAACATGGCCACCCAGGGATACTGATGAACCTCCGTTTCCTGGCCACCCACGATTCTCTTCTGGATATTGGCAATTCCACAGACACAGTCACTGCAATTCCTCGGTGGATTCAGAGTGGGTGGTGCCGGGGTGGTGGCCCTTCTCGTTGTGGTGGTGCTGGACGATGGAGCAGGTGTGGTGGTCGAGGTGGTGGACGAGGCCTCCGGCATCATCGAACTACTGCTCAAGGTGGCCAGAGTGGCATTTTCCGAATCAGAGCTTCCGGGACGTTGGGGCAGAAGTGACAGAACCCACTGGATGAAGGTGTTCTGGGATTGTTTCAGCAGGGGATTCGCTGCCGGTTGCGAGGCTGCCTGATCCTGGGCTACAGCCTGATTAAGGAGGCAGCTTAAGGCCAGGCAGATCAGCAGACACAACCAGGCTCGACTCATTTCTCTAGACTTTTTCCGGCTTTCTCCACGGCGACACCACCAACTCGCGTGGCTCTCGGCGAACTGATCGGCCAGCCGCTTGGCCAGCATTTGAAAGCGGCATTTCACCCAAAAAAAAGTGGTTCTGGCCGGTGGCACGTCCACTTCGCCAATCCAATCCACACAGAAAGAAACAGTGATTTATTTATTTCAACTATGCATATTTGGTCCCAAATGAATATTGACCTATCTCGTGTTAACAAAAATAAGATTGAAAAAGTCTGTTGAAATCTCTTGATAAAGAAAATTAGCTTTAAAACGAAAGTCTATTGTTAAACCTATTCAATTTGCAGGGAAAAATATTGAATAAATTCTAGTTGGTTTTGGTGACTCAATAGAATACCTTAAATCGGAAATATTTATTAGTTTATTTCGACATAAATAACTTATTTAGTTAAGTAGCAACTATTAGTATCTTTTTATATAATTTTTGGAAAAATATGATGAATCTAATTTTGATTGACTAACCTTACAATCGAAAACTAAAAAGACGTTAAAAAAATATTTCTGTTATAAATTAAATACAAAATTTGAATATCTGTTTGGTAAATTCTATGCTTGTTAGATGCTTATAATAAATCTTTTTTAGAACAACGATTTATTGAATGCTCAACAATTTCTAACAGATTTTTCTCCCTGTGCACCATCGCACTCCCCTTAAATTTGCATTTGTATTCTGCGCATGCGTGGGCGCCTCAGGGCATCCACACTATCCACCGCTTGACCATGATACTTCACTCGGTTGGCTGGCAAGCAAAACAAAACAAAATCGGAGCCACTCATCCACAAAAGTAGAGTGTTTGTTGCCTCTTTTTTTTGCGCCACTGAAGTAGCGAAAGTTTTTTTCTCGCTTCAATACTTATTGAAATGAATTTTTTGCTTCGTTTCTATCCAATCGATCGCTCGGCGACGCATCGTAATTTTACTTTCTTTTGATTTATATTATTGGGTCTCTTTTTTCGGCGGTTTGTGGGCCGATTGGTGTCGTTTGTGTGTCGACAGCTATAACAGCTGGCAATAACAACAGCAACAATGCCGGCGACAACAATAAATCTGTGGCACTGTTTACATTTACACCGTTTACGTGGTTGGCTTTGCCAATTCGGTCGAGTCATAGGCTTTGGGACGGTATTGAAATACAGGGTGAGTTCACAATAAAAGTTTGAAAAATGTTCTTCAAATACGAATAAGCTTTAATTATCTTGCATTTATTGAATATGGAAATTTTTTTTTTCCAAACGACTACACTTAAGTGTCGTGCTCCAGTAGTCGAAAATCTTGTCTTAAAATAATAGGATTACACCTTGCTTGTTAATTACAGATAATAATGTATATTATTGAAAGTAACAAACACATTTTTATACAAGAACAAATATTGCATTTTCATTTCTTATAGACGAAAACATATGTACATATATGATACATAAAACAGAAATACTTTTGAAATCGGTAATCATCAGCAAAAGTAAGATTTTTACGGCCTACAATTTTTCAATATTTTTATTTATTTAATTTATTATAAATGATAGAATAGTTTATCAAATTATTTTTAAATTTGCTTCTAAAATTTTAATTTGGGTTTTGTTCTTTTCGGTTGTTTAGCCACAAAATGAATAAAATGGCTTCTTTTACAGAGCAAACGCTTTTGACTTTTCTGCTCCTAATTTAGACTTGCTTTCCCAGACGAAATGTATTTTTAGAGCATGTAGAAGACCCCAACGAACTCAATTTCAGCCGTAATCACACTTTTAGCTCAACGAAGAAAACAAAGCCAGCAAACTGCAATCGTCATAAAAGCGAAAATGGCCTCCCCAAAGACGTGAAACTGTCAGGCTGGACTTTCCACAGAGCAGAGATTAACGATGCAGGGGACTTGTGGCATCCGCACGTGTCCATTCCAGTCGTGAGTCATATTGGTCATGGGCTTAAGTAGCCACATCCCACTGGATCATTAAAAACAACTTGTAAGGTTGAGGAGGCGGCGCCGTTGCGCCTGCGCCCCTTCGGATGACCGGCAATTGATGGATAGTCGAGGGTCTGCCCTGAAAAGGGAAAGGGAAAGGGGAGGGGGGAGGAGGGAGGAGGGCACTGGGGAGTCGGGAGTTGGAAGAGTCATTAGTATGCGCACACATAACACTTGGCATATTAATTGTCCGCGTAATGTTGGAGGCAGATGCAGTCCGAGTGGAGTTGCATGGAGTTGCAGTCGAGTTTGCATGGGGCTTGCAGATGATGATGATGACGAACTAATGTCAGCTCGTCTCTGGACACTAGAGATGCAAAGGTTTTTTTTCCACATATATAATTCCTCATGATCTTGTGTATTTTTGCCTAAAAAGGGAAAACTCGTGTTATTACGAAAATATAACTTACATTTTTGTATTAATAGTAAAATACCCATATAATTCATCACGATCTTATGTATTTTAGCATAGAAAAGTTTGAGTTATTAAGAAGACATAATTTACATTGTTTTATTAACTAAATAAATGTGGTATATTTTTGTCCTTAAATTTCAATATTTACATCTGTTTTTCTTGGAACTTATTTGTGTTTTCTGTAAAACATTGTATTCTCAAACCACGATGTTTTTATGCATTTGCTTTAAATATGATATATTATAAGATATCACTCACTTTCAAGGGAAAAAAGGAACAGAATACAAAAAATTCATTTCCTGAATAAGTACTGTATAATCTGTTACATATATAGATAAAAAGATAATTATTCATAATTTATTCATTTTTCCTGCCAATATGGGATCCTTAGTTTGAAACGCAGAAATACTGAACTCGCATTCTTCTATGGAAACAAAAATAATGTAAAAATATTTCGATTTCCCACATACTTTTAATTGAATTCCTCGCGTGTTTGGTATGTTGATTTTTCACTTTTATTTTAATAGATCGTTAGCATCACTGGTGGGCAGCCATCAAAGGCAGAGTCAGATCCATCGCCCAACCGCAGTGCACGCAGTTAAAACAAAGTGCCATTTGCATAATGCCCGGCTAGACAAAACCGAATGAAAAATACGGAAAAAAGCCCGAACAAGTTGCATGTGTGAGCACATCTATGTTAAATGGGAGTGGGGTTATTTACGAGCCTGAGGAAGGGACCTGCAGTTGGCGACGCAATTATGCAAGGCCCACTCCGGGAAACGTGACCACCAACAGAGTGACTCTGCGACTGATTGCCGTACTGAAGACCTGAGGACCTGGCCCTGGCAGATTGGCTCTGTTAAACACGATGGCAAAATATGTTAATTGGCATTGTAATATGCACATTAGATGTTGCCAACTACTAAGCGCTCATTAAACAAGCAAAAGCTCATGCTCGGCCAATTACTGCCGCTCGGTACATGGCAAAAAGTTACCAAGGAGGGGGGATACAAGTGATAAATTGAGGGAATATGAATCGATTATGAAACCAGATGGCCAGCCCCATGTTTGCTGTATAAAAGGTGATTAGGGCGAGCCAATTAATCAGAAAAAGATTATTATGATAAAAAAAAAACTTAACAAATTTACGCAGCAAAATATACCAACTGAATTTTAAAGCAAAAATTTTAGAAAATATTAAAAACTATAAGTCTCAAAATGTACAATAAATTATGCGTTTTTCGGTCCAATGCATGGCAAAGGTCTTCGAATTCCAAAATATATGTATTTAGGATCGCCAGTGACTGGTTCAATTACGACTCCAAATATAATTTAGTGACTTTTATTTGAAACGGAAATCATAAGGTTTTGTGGTTTTACATTTTCTCACCCGGAAACACAGAGAGCAAAAGCGAGTACTTCATGCCACGATTCCTTTCGTGCAGTATCGATATTCTAATATCGACAGATTTGCAAGTGATAAGTTCATTTAACAGATTTAAAATAATTTAAAGATAATTTTAGCCTTAATAAACTAAAATAAATCTAATATGTTTATGCAGAACTGTTGTAGACATGATCACTCCTTGCTTTCCTTTCTTTTCCCACATATATATTGAAATTCTTCTTATCAAAAAATTAATATATTAAATTTATTGATATTAAAGGCTTTACAAAATATATATTTGTTTTTTTTTTCTGCGTAAAGCTATTAATTAATAAATATGCTACACATTATTATATCGAATGATTGGGACGATCTTTCCAAAAGTGAAAATGTGTTTTTGTGTTTTTTCAAGCAGGCTGGGAACCTCCTTTCAACAACTGTCAAATGCCTCATATAATCTACTGAACCCCAAAATCCTCAGTTAGCCTTCACTCCTCCAAGAAATCAGACCTAAATGGGATAGTTTTATGTTTTTCTTGCATTTCCGTTTTCGGATTTTGGTGTAGGTGATTGTGAGAGTTCCAATTGTATGTTTTTTCAATTTTGGTCTAATCGGACAGGTGAGTATAAATATGTGAATGAAGAATGTACCTAAGAAATCTGGTTTGCAGATCACTTTTACCATGTATCCGAACGAGACAAGTCGTTTGCCATTCATGAAGGGTACAAAGAGTTCCTCTAAGAAAATGTCCTCTGAAGAAAGAGCTGCGGACGGAATAAGGTGCACTTGTCCGCGTGGAAATTGTTCGGGTTGCGGCTGCTACAATGGATGTTCTAGAAATTGCGGTTGCTCCAACTGCCAGAGGAACCGGCAGCGAAATGAGAGGAAAACATAAAACTTTCCAAGTACACATTTCTATTTAAAAGATGGTCAGGGAAGAAAACGTCCCTCAAGGAATCCTTGCTAACCGGGACTTGCGAATCGAGTGGAAGTCTCTACTTCTCGTGGCTTTCCATCGCCATGGTTCCTTGAGCGCGTGAAAGAAGTCCCAACCGTCGCAATTTTTGGAATTTTCCTTCATTCGGACTTTAGGATTCAATATAATATTATATTTATATTTGTATTCCTTACTCGGATTCCAAATTGTTAGGCCTTAGAAACACACTGATTTCCAAATACTTGGATTCCCAAAGACTCTGAATCCCAAACACTCGGATTCCGAAATACTTGGATTCCGAAACACTTGGATTCCCAATCACTCGGATTCCCAAACATTTGGATTCCCGAAGACTTGGATTCCCAAATACACATTACATGATTAACAATTACAACATAATTACAATTAACACTATTATGGAATTGGCACCAAATAAAAAACAATATAAGTTAATTGGTATTGTGTTTAAGAAATATTAAGTTGAATTAAACGAAAAACTCAATAATTTAGCGCAGTATGATTTTTTAAAAAAGTGATTTTTATTCTTTGGATTAAACTATTTATTCACTTATTGAATTTTAAGCATAATTATAGCTCATAATGAATGAATGTGTAATAGAATATTGTGTTGGTCGCATTAAATATCAACTATTTCTCTACTAAAATGATTTTTAAAAATAATTTAACTTGAGAGAGATGAATCTCTTAATTTTTGTAGCTTTAAGGCTCTACAACTGTCCTACCACAAAAAACAATTAAAAAATTGTTGGCCTGGCTGACATAACCTGACCCCGGATTTTCCGTCTGAACATCGCGCGCACATGTAAATGGAAAATTTTTCACAGACAGTTGGGTGCGTGTAAAAAATTTCACTTTTGATTTATACTCGTGGCGTAAGGTGTTGCTGAACAAAAAAAATGTAAAATAAAAAAAGTAAGAATTGTAAAATTTTGAGAACCTGATTGCAGTAATAAAATTGAAGGGAGATGGGGGCGCATAGAAGAGGATATTGCAACATATTTGCATAGACAACCATTAGGGCAACGACGACCATTCAGCCACTCAACCATTCAGGCCATGAATGGCTATTACAGCGAATAGATTATGTTTTGCTATGCACGTTGCCCTGTTGCCATAAAATTTTATCTGCCAAGTTAATTAAGCCGGCAGTTAGCCGGCTGGGAAGCTGGAACTCAACTATCCTGGAATACGGCGCTCCTGTTCATTTGCAGTTGAAAATTTAATTAGTTATTCCATTTGCGCGCCACACTCGCTTTTCATTGCGGCCATTCAGACTGCTACCTCTCATTTTCCGGTTAACCCAAAGGATTCGCGAAAGGAAAACGAAACCGCGCTGGGTTTTTTTGGCTGTCCAGTGGACTGTGAATGGGTGAAGTAGACACGAATATCTGATCAAGAGTTTCCACACCTTGGCTGGAAAATCACCAGAATCGCATCAAAACTCACGCAAGGAAAAACTTTTAACGGCATGCAACAGCCAGAGTCTCAAGTTTCACATTGCAACTTTAGCACGCGATTGAATTTTTTGCTCAAACGCCGATTATGACTTGTACTTGTTGAAAGAGCTATACAAAAACCGAAAGGGAAAAAAACAGCTTAAAAATGTGTAATGATTTTTTGGGCATGCTCAACATAGTTGCAATAATTTGCATGCGACTCTCGAGAGGCATGCAATGGGCACTACACACGCAAGGCTCTATAATGGATTAATTACAGGGTAATGCGATCCCAAACGTAGACCTTACAGCTATATTTTACAAAAAAAAACTATTTAAAACTAATATTTTAAAAACTCCATTTAAGGAACAAGTTTTGTAATAAACTATAAATATTGGTCTACTTCAAATATATGGAACTAAATATACTAGGTACCGTTTTTTTGGCTTAACTTATATTTAAATCTGTTTACCTTATATTTTTTGTTCGAAAATCATTTTATGAGCTTTTAAATCGCTCCACCTGCTCACTATAAAACCAATTAGCCACATCTATTTGGTGACTTCCATTTGAGCAGAGATGGGCATCAAAGGCGTTACATGCTTAGGCACTTTAAGAGCATGTTTGACCATCATGAACAGCAAACATAAAAACTCAAGGAGGTCCGAGCACTTGAGTATGGAAATAGGTATGGGAACATTAAATGGAATTTTTAAATGCTCTTGTAACCCTCAGACAACGACCGTTCCCATTCAAAAACTTGAGAAAACTTGAGAAAATAAAATATTTCAATTTGTATGCTGGCGACAGGTGATTCAGATATTTGGCTCGGGATCGGGAACTTGCCCTCATTTCAATCGATTGCATATTTTATGCTTCCATAACGACTCATTAATTCGATTGGAATGAAGTCGTAAACAAGGCATCAAAACTGACCCGTTATTAAACGAGACGGGGGAAAAAGGAAAATAAATAAATCGGTACCATAAAATCTGGTTTGTTGACATATTTAAATGACGTATAAATTGAATAATAAAATGACCCAAAATGGGCAGTAATCTATAAATGCCCCACATCAATGGGAACTCCAACCGGTTTATGAGTTCTTGTGTATCGATATGTATTATAATTAGCTCAGTAGAATAATGTGATTTTCCGTTCGAAAATATTGTATATTTACGACTCATAAAAATAACTTTTTAAACTTACTATTTGTAGCGTTAAAGGGTACCAACATAATTCGTATAAAAACTGTATATCTGCATACATATTTAAACAAGAAAGCAAACAAATAAAAAAACAAACAAGAACAAAAGTGTAAACCGCAATTAATTAAATCTGCAGTTCATTTTATTGCCGCAGGAAAAGTCATGGGACCAAGAGATCGACGTTAAAGCGGGTCAAAACCCAAAAAAACGTTAAAAACAAAATTAATAAGAATCAAGTAAATTAAATAAAAAGGTTTAAAATAAAAGTTTATATTGATAAAGTACCTTTATTAAATTGCTTAGCTCCGTTTTCACTTCCTTACGGCAATTTAAAAGAATATTTTTTCTCAGTTTTTTATAAAGAGTATTTGTTATATCTACATGGAAAAAGAACAAGCTTTAAAAAAATAATAACCACTGACAAACGAACCAATTTGTGGTTATTAAATATGACTGCATTTATCTTAACCGGAGAGTTTAATAATTTACAAATTCATTGCGGCCTTACCACATGTCAACTGAAGTAATTCATTATCAACAAGCAATTAACATACATAAAAACACCGAAGCACTATCTAAGTCAAAAGAAGTTTATCGAAATTGAAGATGAAATCTGCAAACTTGTATATTAAAATAATTAAGGCAACAGTGTGAAGATTAAAGAAATTGAAATAAATATACATTTTTTGTTAGCTCTGGCAAAAATTGTTAACAGTCTCTATCTCCTGTGAATTTTGACAATGATGGTGTTGGCAAAGCCTACTATACAAATTTAATAATATCATGATGTTTAATTTAATTGTGCTTCAATTTTAATGCCGTTCATATTAATTCATTGAGAAAAAATAATATTAAACATTATTATCCTGGTCAATTAATTATTACAGTGCTTTCTAGAATTTCTCTGTAAGCAGCTATTGCTCTTAGTTTATTCAGTTATACAAATCTATACACATTGGATTTGCTCTCAATGTTGAAATTTATGATGTTAGAGTTAGCAATGTTATTTTCATTAGAATTAGTCATTTGGGTTAATTTATGGACTTCATTATATCAATTATATTTCAGGCTCCATCGATCGAATTATTTGGATGAAATGGAATTTCTCTTTAAGCAGCTATTCATTTCTGATAATTCAGTTAAATAAACTTATGCAAATATAATTTGCTCCCAATGTTAAAATTTATGATGTTGCAATTAGCAATGTCATTTTCATTCGAATTACTCATTTAGGTCAAGTTATGGCTTACATTCCAATCCTGGTTAATTATCAATTATATTTAAGGTTTCATTGCTTGAATTATTTGGGTTAAATGGAATTTCTATCATAGCAGCTATGGGTTTTTGATTATTCAGTTTACAAGTCTCCCGAGGCGTTGGCCCTATTGAAATTCATTTAGTTGTCCAACAACTAATTGAAATAATCATGCGAAAATTTGTCTAATTTGTGGTCTTGTCCCCTACATAATTCACGATGCAGGCCAGACTCCGCCCTGACATTCTGTCCTCCGGTGTCTGGGCCCTGACATTTCGGTACAAATAAGGCAGTCAAGCGGCCATTTGCTGGTTCCATGCGCATTTTCTTCATCAATGATTAATTGTTTTGACAATGTTGCAGCTAAGTACCTCTATGTGCCCCTCCTCCCTGCCTTTCCCCTTACTCGTCTGGCTTTGGATGTGGTGAAATATTCCGCGTGGCAAACTCAAACCTCTGCCCCTGGTCCATGTCACATTTGTGGCCTGGCACTGACGAATGTCCCCAAATTGATGTATGATTTTGGCAGCGATGCCAAAAACCTGATGGGGGCAGTAGTCTGTCTCCATTTCCACAATTTCAGTCTGCTGTGTGTGGAAGATTTAGTGCAGAGCTTTGGGTTTTGTGGAACATTTTTGGCAAGATATGATATATCTCTCACTAGTGTTAAAGCTGCTTGTGCAGTGCAGTTTATGGTAGTTGCAGCGATTGAAGTTGGTAGTAGCTGTGCATAAAGGTTTTCGTTTCAGACGAATGCAATCAATAAAAGTAAACAAAAGGAAATCAAAAATAAATAATCAAAAAAAAATTAAGCTCAAAATATTTGAATGACAGAGGAAAATAGAAAATAGTAGGAATTATTTTATTTCTGAAAATAATTTACCATTACAGTAACAATTAAATAGCCATTCTTTTTGGTTTAAAAACAAAACACAACTAACATTCAGGGTTTGGTTCTCCACATTTAATATCAGAAGTGTCACTAACAGGTAATTCAATTTCCTTTGGCTTGCGATTCACTGTTTTCCATCCGGTGTATTGGTCTGAAAAAATCAGGTTTGTTTGTCTAACCCACTAAGAGCAATTTCCTTCCTACTGTTTTTGCGCCTTCCATTCCCTTTAACGACAGCTAAACAAATTAAACTTAAAAATAAATAAAGTAGAGCGGTGAACAGAGGATGAGCCGAGGGTGCCAACAAGTTTAGCTTTAGTTGCCCGAGAAACTTTCACTTGACCCTTGTCAAGCAACTCGAAAGGGGGTTGGCCCAAGGTGCGGGGTCACAGACAGTCGAGTGTTGTAATCAACGGAAAATTGGCACCAGTCAACGGAACCCCATCCAGAATTTATCCTTCCGCCCCCTTAGTTTTAGTCCTGGTCTCTGTATTTGTATTGGTATTTGTATCTGTGTCAGTGTCAGCATCGTTTACGCTTAACTTCCTGCTGGATCTTTTTGGGGGTGGTTGCCTTGACCAACTGACTTAGTGCGAGGGTTGCTCCATTTGGCTCTGTTCTGTTGTCGTTGATAAGTCGG